CTTTTTTATTATATATATATATATATATATGATGATGCGCGCATGTATGCACAACTTACCCATTACTTGAACTCGACAAATTGCACAAGTGTCACATTCCACATCCCAACTCCACATAGCTACAGCATTCCATTTCTTTAAGATAAATAATTTATCAGTTTTTAAATTGTCATTATCTCCACGATCTCCGAAATCTTGTTCTGAGTCAGCCATCTCGATTTAGGTTAAAAACGACAAAGCAATGTAGCGTTAAAGCGATTAAAACATTCGTACTCTCTTAAAATATTTCAAAGAATTATGTTGTTTATTTACACTTTATTTTTAATTAACTTGATCACACACGTTAGATAAAATTAATGACACTATTAACATTATAGTTGATCTTTAAATCAGTACATCGGAAATTCAATACGAAGAAGTTCAATTCTTTTTTTCATGTAGGATTTTAATAACGTATATTATGTACAATCAATAATAATCGAATCTGTATTTTTAACACTGATAAATTACTATATTGATTGTAGGTAATCTTGTTTGAGCAATCTATAATCACAGATTAGATATAGAAATCTTATTACAGACTAGATATAAGAGTCTTTATATGTATATATATATATATATATATGTATATATATATTATATCTCCTATAAGACTCCTATGCTGTGGTTAAAATTAAAAAAGATGAACATAACATATTATGCCATCTAGTGATGAAATGTCTATTTCTTTTCGTTAAATCTGATTGATGCGCGAAGAATATTGCGCTTGATATCGTTGCATAGTTGGATACGAGTGATCAAAACGACTAATTCTCTACGTAAGGTTAGATAATTGAATCATAAAACGATATCTTGGAAAAAGAAATTTTTAATTCAGCATGTGAATCGTGACTTAACAGTAACGTTTATATTTTTTCCATGAAACTAATTTAATCGCAGCTCAGTTGTAAGCAATTCAATAGTAATTATTTACTGATTATTCATATATAAAAAAGAATATATAAAACATAACCTACATGATGTCATTTTTTTCAGATGCTTTGCGTAAAATATGTCAAGAAAAATAATACCACAATTCTGTTTAATATATTATCAAAGGGTTGCTATTCTCGACGTAGCAATAAAAGCACAAACTCATATAAAATCGTTCAAGCAAATAGTGAAAACTTGAATGGTAAATATTATTGTTAAAGTTTAAATTTGTTTATTTTAAAAAATTTGTCTTTTATTATATTTATTGTTTTTTTTTTAGATGTGGATGGTGCTATGCTTGGAATAAATTCTAATTGGGAGCTTTTAACACCTAGAGGATTCAGATTTTATTTACCGGGAAGCATTGGCCCTGGTTGGTCAGATGTAACCACAACTATTCAAGTTAGAACGCAATTAGTTGACTTTCATGACAATGATAAACAGATATCGATAGATGATTCTAAAGAAAAATCTGTTCCTCGATCAAATCGTTTGAAAGGGACTCAACATTCAATGCTTCATTGTGTTGCACAAGAATGCCCTTTACTGTTGAGAAAAGGTATAGAGGAATTATTTCCTGGATGTTTAGATGTTGGTTCTCCACAACTTACTATAATTACTATCAGTCAATCAATTAATTTTAAAGTTATGAAATGGAACAAAGAAATAGAAACTGAGAAATTAGCTAAATATGTGAGTATGTAAAATGTAAAGAATATTGCTTATATTTTAATCATAAACTGTCGATCATTTCATATGTTTGGCAAAGTATGTTTTTCCTTTTATTTATAGTTTGTATTAGCAGCTTCAGATATTTGTGCAAAATTAAGGAGAATGGGTTATTGGGCAGATTTCATCAATCCATTTAGTGGACAACCACATTTAAATTTACAAAAAAATAATACTCTTTATAAAACGGATGAGCGATTTCGATGTTTAGGATTTAAAATATTACATAGAAACAATTGTAAAATTATTTTATACGATAATAATGCAAAGAATTTTTTGGGTAAGTAAGCATAAGCTATATAATGTTTTATTTAATTGTAATTATAAACTCCATTATTTATCGAAGATTTATCAATTTCACATGATTGAACAGTTCAAAACGGTCATGGCACCGTTGTGTATATTACAGGAAATCTCTACACCACAGCGCCTGCGAGTACAGAATTTTTAAAAGAAATTCTGTACGATTGCGAGCTTGTAAATGTTAACGAAGCTTAATAAAAATAAAATGAAAGGGAACAAGGGAAAACAGAGTATTGATACAATATATATTTTAATATATGTTACATGTGTCACTGAAATATTTCAATCTTTAAATTAAGTTATATTATATAATTGTAAAAAAAATTTTCATTCGAAATCGAATGTAAAATGCTTTTTTTTCGATATATATTTTTTGAGTATACATTGTTTCATAATTGCAACTTGTGCATCTTGTTCGATTCACGCATCGATATTTGTTATCTTACTACTTCTGCGTCGAAAATATATAAAATTATTTTTTTAAAGGATGTACAATATATGTCATATATTACGAATGCTATATTGTATGTAAATTGAAACGATCAATAGGTAACTAATACCACCGGCAGGAGAGTTCTTGATCTGAACATAAAATAAAAGGTATTTATCTAGGCGCGCACAAATAACTTCAAGTTTCAGTTGAACGTGAAATAATGAAAAAGGGAATGATTTTTTAATGAGAAAAAAAAATTGTCAATCAACTTCTAATTTACGGAAAAAACCAGATATACCACACAAATCATTGTTTGAAACATACTGACAATCTGTCGATGAAATTTCAATATACATATCATCGAGATCTTTTATTCGATTCCTTTGTTCCTTCAAAGTTTTTTTGAAATTAGCTGGAAAACAAAATTAAAATTAACACTAATACCGAAACGCATCTTTTAATTAAATGATTAATATCAAATTAATAATTAAATAATGATAATTAAATATGTGTATATACCAATCATCTCAGAGAGTGGAATTTCTCCTCCATATTCTTTAGGTAAAATACTTGGATCAATAGCATTTTTTAATTCATCCAAACTCTTATGTACCTTAATTGAAAATATAATGAAATTAACAAACTTGAAAGAATTCAATCATATGTTTACATACCAAAATTCGACTTTTTAATTTATCGTTGAGAAGAGAAATGCCAAACTCGATGATCTTGATTGCACAAGTTGGAATATTAACAAAATGCGTTTCTTTGTGTCTCATGGGTGTACTATTTTGAATACATCGTAACATATTACGAATATCCGTTAGAGACCAAGCACTAAGATGACCCATTGTTAATCCAGATTCATCATTAATGTGTGTATATCCACGCACTTGATTTTCTTCATCATCCATTAAAGCTTCCACGACGAGGCTGTGAGCTCGAGCCATTTGAGCAGATGTATATTTGTACGGATCAAAGCGTCCTATGAAAAAAAATATATTTTTTATCATGCGAAATATATAATAAATGTGTAACGAGAAGAAATAAAAGAAGAAGAATGAATGAAATGGAGAAGGAAAAGAAAATAGAAAAATAATTTCGGACTTGGAATTAACATTTAGAACGGAGCTTAGAAACGAATATTACTTACCAGCGCAAGAAAGAATCACTCGTCGACCGTGACGATCACGTTCCATCAATGGTATCAGATAACCAGCATCTATTATAGCTTCGATATCTCTATCTTCAATGTCGAGATTTTGAAACCAGTTTGGATACATTTGTCTAATAGTCAGGTAACGTTCGAGCATTTCTTCTGCCATCGGTACACTGAATTTCTTGGTTCTGAGAAATCTGAGAAGAAAGGCTGCATCTGTTCTACAATGTTTGATATTTGGATGCTTTTGGATCCAGTGTCTGAATTGTTTCAGTGCTTCTTCCCTAGTAGCATCGTCTTCACGAAGTTCAAAACGAGCGATCGTTTTCGTGGCTTCGCTTAATGCACATCCGTAATTCTCTTCTTTTAACTTGGCCATCATCGATGTACGAAAGAACTAGCAGATGAGTATCAGAATAGCACTTTCTTCATGAATAGATTCGTGTTTTTAGTTCCCCTCTCTTTCTCTTTTTCTTTTTATTTTTTTTTTCTTGCTTCTCAACCTCCTTCTTGTTCTCGTTATGTTGTTACTGCAGCTGCTACATACTAATGTTACTTCTACTCCTACTCTTACTCCTTCTCCTCTTCCTCCTTTCCCTTCACTTTTTTACCCTTTCTCTGATCCCGCGTCCTCGTTTTGTTCGTTCGAATTTTAACCGAGCTACCAATGATTATAAGACTCGACAAATTCTTACGCCATTTGATAGTTCATCAAGGAGAAAGTTCAACATTGATTTATTTGCGAGAAAACTATTCTTATATTTCTTCACTGCGCTTTTTATTTTTGAATTTTTTATTTAATATCATATTGATGTTTTTTGTTAATTAAAAGTAAATAATTACACAAATTTCATTTATTTCTAGACACACATTCTTAATGAAATTTGATTTCGTCACAAATACAATAAAAAGACATACATTAATGAAAATTATATAAAATTATATAAATATCTGTAAAATTGAAATATTATATTCTATTTTTTTATTTGTGATATTATTAGAATTAATTAAAAATTAATTACGGTATAATTAAGTGATTGTATTTTTATAATTATATACACAATTTCATCAAATTTTTCGATCAAATTATGATTCGCATCAAAAAATATGTTCCAGAAAAAAATCTTTTTTGATTGACTTGGATTGAAATGATTCGCTTAGTTATCTGTACAATCAATTTAAGATCATGCATTATTCTTACTGCTTCTTCTACTTTTCCCGTTTTTATCATCCTATTCTTTTTCTTCTTTTCAATTTTATTCTTTTTTTCTTTTTAGTTTAATTTTATTTCTGAATAATTAAAAGATTTGACATATATACGAAAAATATTTATAATCTTTAAAAAAAAAAAAGAAAAATACTTATAATCTTTTAAAAAAATTATTGAAAAATCAAATTGAAACATAATTGTTTGCTATTTTTGAAATTACAATAAAATGATTTTAGATGCATTTATTTTTTGGACAATCAGAACTTTTTTAAATTTAAATTTTTATTTACAAATGTCTACTATTTACTATGTAATTGAGAATTCACTTCTTTTTCATAATTTTATGTTTTACTTTCACCATAAATCTTCTTTCGATCGAATTGTTAAATATCGAAACTATGTTATGCGATAAAACATTAAGAAATTTATATCATCAAATTGAAAGCAACATTTCAATGACAAAAGAAGATTTGGTAAAATAGATCCGGAATAGAGTTATTGGAATTATAATCGATAATTATTATTAAATCGTTTTATGGTTAACATTTTATAATTTTTTTATATTCTATTTTTTTTTACTTTTTTTTCATCAATTTGAGTCTTTTAAGAAAAAGATTGTTTCAATAATTTCAATATTTATTTAATGATTAATTATAATTGCATATTATATGAAGTTTTTTTTCGCTTACTTACATAATCAATTGTGTACTATTTGATTTCTTGATTTGGTGAAAATCGTGATTTGATTCTATTCGGAATTGTGGCTTTCTATTCATTTTTAACTTATATATTTTACGCTTATTTTACATCAATTTTATTATTTTTCAAGTTGTTCGATTAATATATATACGAAAAAATTTTATCTAAAGTTAATTTATTTTGAAGCTTTATCAGAATTTATATTTTTGTTAAATTATAAAATAATTACTATGATTAACTTAATTTTTTTAGTAGAATCTATATTATAAGATAATTATAAAAAAAAAAGGTAATATAATGAATTATTTTTTTTTTTTGTGAACAAAATATAATTAGTATGTAACATATATGCATACATTTGTAAATGTATGTTCAATATTTTTATTATTTATTTGAATATTATTGTATTTTGATATAACAAACGATAAATTTTTGTTCATATACAATATGTTTATAATTTATATTTTATGTGTGTATGTATATTATATATATTTCTTGGAAGAATATAGGAAGAATCATATAATTGTTGAAAAAGGTACGAATTTTGTAACGCGAGAATTGCGATGTTGAAATCAATCGTAATAGAATTATCAACGAAAGTCGAAACTTAAAACATGAATATTAAATATTTTCATATTATTTTCAAAGTTTGTTCGAAAATTCCAATTACAACAGCCATATATCATGATGTCTAAAGAGTCATCTGAGAATTACATTATCAAATGTCAGGTCCCTGCTATCACGCTGCGTGGCTGACTTTTTAAATGGATTCCACGGCAGTTTCTTAATTACATGAGCAGTGGTAACGGAACCAGCAGGACTTGGTTGACCAGAAGAAATTCCAGAAGAACTACTCGCTGAAACACTTCCTTTATCCTGCTGGTTAATTTTACCTGGTTTCTAAAATTGATAATAAATTTTTAATTGTTATAAATCATTTTTCTTAATCATTATAATTCAGAATCTTTGTCTTTTAAGTTTTTTACCTTCAAATAATTTCTATCCATAGGTGTGACCAATTTTAAATTGATAAAATCGCCAGATTGCTTGATCAATCGAACTACTTGTTCATGTGATGACCACTTTACATCTTTATCACCAATTCCTACTATAAAATCACCTTCCTTCATACCACCCAACTAAAGAAAAAAAATAATTCAATTATAAATTTATTACAAAGCTTTTTAATATGCAGAATTCTTTAAAAAGAATAAAAAGAATCAATAAAATAAAATAAAAATTAAAAATATAATCTATTAATATATTTGTGAATATCTTTGTGAATCTAAATCGATTCTAGAAAAATAAATATAAATTAATATAAAAATGTTGAAATTTATTTATTAAATTATAAGTAATTTATTGCATATTATAAGCATTATAATATGGTGAAATGAGATAGGAATGTAATAGAGATAAAGCTATCTCATTTTTTTTTAATCTTGCTTCGTGTTATTAAAACTTCAATTACTTATAATTTAATTTGCAAATACATCAAAGTAAAAAAAAAAATTATCTTCAAGGATTGCATATTTTTATTCTTGATATCTTTTTAATTCAATAAATTTTAAAAAATATATATTTTTTTATTATAATTATATACAATTCATGGAATATCTTTATTAAAATCGTAATATATGAAGCACATCCTGATTTCCTTAGAGTTTAGAGATTAAATTTATAAAATTTCTAGTCATTTAGCTGAATTGAATATAACTTATATAGTATTTAATATGTTATTAAATTTTAAATTATATTTTTATATAACAATTTATTTTAATTTTTAAAATTGATTTCAAAAATATTCCAAGAATATATTAATCATCACATATATACATCCTATATATATGTATATATATATATACTTACATCGGCCAAAGAATTGTGATCAACTGCAGCTATTATTACAGGAGAATCTCCTCGAACACTAAAACCGAATCCTTCGCCTTCAGGTCCTCTTTGAAGCTGTATTAATCGTGGTGCAGTCCAATGTCTTTTTGCCGAAAATATGGCAACTGGGCCTAATGATTTGAAAAGATCTTCGACTCCATGTTGTCCAAAATCCGGATGAGTTATGCTTAATTGGAACTTTGTGGATGCTGTGATAAAAATATAGATATTCGTGTTGTTAATGAATATATATCTCTTGCTTTTCCTTCATGCAATCTCTCCATTTACCTATAATATCAGGTGGATCCAATTCTCGAAAATCATCTTCATTTTTAATTCCATTATAATCCTCTACTGTTGATTCTTGTATCCTTTTCAAAACTTTGGCAAGCGCCTGCTTTGCTTTTAAATCTCTACACATTCTTTGCAATCTCTGACTTTCTTCGTGTAAAACTAAAGCTTCCCTGAGATGTACTTTCGCTGAAACATTTAAATCGATTAAGATCAAAGATTGAATCCAATTGAATTGGATAGAGTAGAATAAAAAAGAAATAAAATCGAGCACAAAGAGATCAACTAAAAATTGGTAATAATTAGCAACACACCTAATAACTTCCTTTCATTTTCCTCTCGTGGCACGATTATATCCAATTGCGTTTTACCATCACTCTTTTGTATATGTTCGAGCGCTAACTTAGTTTCCGCTCTCCATTCGGAAATTGATCGATCGAACAATCCAAGTGCAAGATGCTTATGTGCGAGAGCCATGTGATGTTCGCGTTTTACCAAGATCAATGAAATCCAGGTTTCTGGAACGTAGTCACGGACTGGTTCGCGCGAGATCAATCCATGGACGTCGCTGTAGACAGCCGCAACCTAGGCAATTGATGACCGTACGCAGGTCATACGTTCGGTAAAATGGTTCGGGGATCTAAGCGAAATATAGGCGTATTAGATTCACGCGTAAGTAAAATTTTGACGGTCGCTACCTGTGACGCTTCCTGCGCGAGATCCAATGAAACATCAATACTCCTTCCATCTTTTGATTGAAGTTCTAGTTTTTCGAACAAACATTCTCTCGCTTGGGCCTGAAACGAGAATGATAAAATGCGTGTCAAACAAAATACTCGAAATGCATTCTATTCATTTGATTATAATCATTTATTTTGCGATGAATTCAAAACGTGTGTAACAAAACTATGAACGTGTCATTACCAGCATCAGTTGAACAAGCATCTCCAACATATCCGGTCCAAGATCCATACTCGGTGCATTGGTAAAATTTTCGTATATATAACGAAAAGTACCAGCGGCTCGAAGAAAGGCATCAATCGCCTGATCTAAGCCTCGTGTGGACAAACGATCTTGTTTCGCAGCCAATTGAGTATAAAGAGCAGCAGCGTTAAATAAAATTGAAGCCTTCTCAAACGCGACAGTTCGTTGGCAACTCGGAACTCCTGTCAACGAGTCGAACCATTCGAAATAGATGCCAAGACTTCGATCAGGAGGAAAAAATCTTCGCTCAACGAAGTATAATTGATTGTAATACCGCAACAACAATGCAATACCTGCAGTATCTCTGGTCGGTGTACGTGTTGCCTTTAAACAATAGAAGAAAAATTCAATTATTTTTTTTTATTTTATTCCATTTTGTCGGAATTCAACTATTGGTAGCTCACCTGTCTAGTCTCCATTAGATCTGCTATTGCCTCTTCATAATTTACTCCATCTTCGCTATAATGTTCGAGAATGAAATCCTGTAACGCAATATATATAAGTACAGTAATAAGTAATAATACATTACATAATACGTGTGATAAATATAAATAAAATAGAAATAAAAAATAGAAATTAATAAAATAATAAACAATTGCATTGTTTGATGAGTTCGATATTGCTTAGCGACCACGAGAATTCGCGTTATATGTACAAAATGTCGAGAATCACGCTCGATTTATTACGAAAGCGTTCGGAACATAATGAAGGCGAGATTTCAACACTTGAAGAGATCGCATTGCATCAAGAAAATATCGTGAAGATCGAATTAATCGACAAAACATGCAGGCATATGAAGATTCTATTATTGCAGAATAATCTCATATCAAAAATTGAAAATCTAAGCAAATTGAAAAGGTTAGAATATTTGAATTTAGCTTTGAATAATATAGAAGTAATTGAAAATTTGGAAGGGCTTGAGAGTTTGAAAAAATTGGATTTAACTGTTAACTTTATTGGTGATCTTCGAGGGATCAAAAGTTTAAGGTATTGTTGTTGAAATATATATAATTAAATTACAAGAAAAAATTAATCGAAAAATGATAACATATCAAAATTCATGACAATATGTCAAAATTCAGTCAAATCATGTCAAGTCATTGAAACTTTTTTATATTTTTATAAAAAAAAATTCAATTTTTTTTCTAAATTAATTATGTTTAAGATCAGGAAAATATCTGTATATTATACACCATATTTTCTTCATCAAAGTTGGCTGGATGATTTTACATGTTATGTTTTATCTATTAATCATATTTTTAATCCTCATTACCGTATAATGATACTAAATCGATACTAAACATCGTATCGCATTGCTAGCATATTCTATTTTCTGCATATGATATATGACAGATGGCAATTCATGAATATATTAAAACGTGTTTTGTTTATATAGTCAATTGCATTCAATTGTAATTATAAAATATACAATTTTTATTTTGACTCAGAAAATACGTAAATATGCAATACGCAATATATAAAACACTCATATTTTTGGTTCATGCTACCAAAATGTATTAAATTATAATTGACTAATTATGATTGATGATTTTTGATGAAATAATTATCTTTTTGTGATGAAGATTTATGAACTGATTAAAGTTAAAAATCCATTTCTCTCTCTCCATTTATAGAGGCATTAATATAATTATTTCAATGTATCACAGATATAACGAACAATTGGAACAGCTGTTTTTGATGGGAAATCCGTGTGCGGATTATCAAGGTTATAGAGAATATGTAATTGCGACATTGGTACAATTAAAGGAGCTTGATGGAACACTGATCGAAAGATCGGATCGCATAAAAGCATTACAACATTATGCTGAAATCGAAGGAGAAATTGTTAGAAGTTGCACGAAACATAAGATAAAAAGAGAAGCTGAATTATTAAGTTATCGCGAGCAAATAAAATCACAGAAAAATCAAGTAAGCAAATCTTTTTTGATTTCATGAAGAGATAATAATTTAATTATATTAATATATTATCTATTTATAGAAAGATGCAGATAAAGAAAAAAATGAAAATGAAGAGGATAAGCAAATAGAGGACAAAGAAGAAAAGGAAAATGAATTATTTTGGAATCAAATTAGTCGTCATACACCGGAAGAACGCATCGCTATTGCGGAACGATTTTTGCGAAAACAAACACAAAAAAATCAAAAAAAGAATCAAATAATTGAATCACGAACTACTTATAAATTAAAATTATTTGATTCCAAAGGCAAACCCTATAACATTAATCAGCCAAAAATATCTTTCAAGTTGAATGAAGAGGAAGATAGAGATCACATTGTTTTAGAGATTGCTCTATATAGGTATGTAATAATTTAATATGATTAATCAATAATTAATACTCGAATATTATTATGAATTTAGATACTTGGACACTTGTTACGTAGATGTAGATGTGCATCCTGATTACGTGCGCGTAACTATAAAAGAGAAAATATTACAATTGACCTTACCCTGTGAAGTATCAGTAAACGGCAGCACGGCACGAAGAAATACGACGAACGGCAAGCTTATAATAATGATGCCACGTTTAAATAGATTATCTACGATATTCTCTAATAATAAAGAGATAACTAAACAAAATCCCGATCGATATACAACAATCGAACGACGATCAACAATGAGTGTACGGGAATATTTAGAAATTGGTCCAGAAAATGATTTAGATTTTTTGAAAATTGTCAATCCATCGATCAATAAGACAATTGTCAATAATCAAGTAGTAAAATCAAAAAATGAAGAGATTTGCTGCGATAATAATTTAGAGATACCACCACTTGAATGAAAGAGAATGACTTTCATATAAACACTCACCTTGAATGGATCCTGAAAGTCTATATCTTTGGTTTCTTTCAGACCTAATGGTATCATTGGCATTGCCGGTTCTTCGCTAAAAATACATATATACATATACATATATAAAGTTACATATACAAATACAAATATAAAGTTAAGTGAATTTAAGCTGTGTCGAATCAATATAAAAACATTTCACAAACCTATCACCATTTTGATACAATTCAACTGAACTGTTTAATTCGGCAAGTTGTTCCTTTAGTAATTGCAAGTTTGAATTAACGAAACTCAATTCCAACGCAACAGTTTCTCTCAATTTCCTATTTGTTGTTGCTCTGAAATATAAAATAATGTATAATTGTATGTAATTGAGTAGTAGTAAAATATATATAAAAAGAATGAAAGACAGTTACTTAAAAAGATTTTCTGCGCCGGCTCGCAATCGAAGCTCTTTATTAATCTCTTGATTCAATTTGCTTCGTTTGTTCTGTAGTTTTCCTCGACATGTAGCCACTCTAGGATCGGAACCCTAATCAATTGAACATGCAATTTTAATTTGTAGTGCAAGTGGATACTGGTATTAAGATCAACAATTATTCAACGAAGTTGATTGGAAGAAGGTATGATTTTCCGAAAGAGTTGCATAAGTTCATTAACATAGTATTTAATCTCGTAATCACATCATTTATTTCAATCACTATTTCATGTCATTTCATGTCATGTACATTGTTGAGAATAGAAAATAAACTTCGTCGAGCGAGAAGCAACAATCTACATAAAAAATTCATTAGAGATTATATAGATTTTAGTCAAGATACGATGTATGATACTTGATACTTGTGATTGTGATCATATTTAAGTTTTATTTATTTCATAACTCGTCCCATAATACGATAAAACGCAAACGATTATACACATTTTAATCTACAATACGACTAATTTGTATATTAAAGCATTCTCTGCGAAACCTTTAACGAAACAAAATCCTTAATGAATAACGTGTTATTTTCATTCTATCTTTTTTTATTCTTTTTGCTCATTCTATATATATTCTTATTCTCTTCATATGTTAGTTTAATGTTAATTTATTCTATTCCTAATAATTTAGTAAATCATAATATCAATTCGAAAAATGAAGAAATATGTTTATTTATAAAATATTTTTTCTTTATCTTATGGCATACCATGCCTTACAGCTTCTTCAACCGACTTCATGGAACGAAAATTCTTGGTGAAAGGAGAAACTGATTGATGGTGGGGAGAAGGATAACGTTCGTTCTATCTTACCGGGTGCGGCCAGCTACGTAAAAATATAATTTTAAGGTCGACATGCTTCATACTTGACTACCGATTTCATTTATTAATTCAATGATATTAAGTATCTTTTAAATTATTTATTATTTAAAGCATTCTAATCAATTAGCTATTCTGTGTTTAGTTTTTTATCATAAGAAATCGCGATAGAAATCGAATAAGATGTATGTAATAATAAAAATAGTCGAAGATCTTACTGTTGCCATCTTAATAGTTTTTTATACATAATTGCTTTCCCAATATGTTCTATTTTTTTTTCGTGAAAATCAAAAAAAGAACAAGTTTGAACAAAGATACAAAATATTATGATATTCACTCTACATTTTTATAAATCTAATTTTCATATATTAAAAGATTATTTACCTAACAAATTTTAAATATATTTACAATATCGCTTCAATTACTTGGAAATAATTATGGTTAAATAGTGTTCAAGGAAACGAAAGGAAATAAACGCTAACGTTTTTATAGTTTTGTAGTGGTTTTTCGTTACGCGTGGGTATCGCCACTTGAGTTCAGTAGACGAGGTATATTCTATCGAATCTGAAGCATGTTATAGCTTTTCATACTTATGAAACAGGAAATGCAATTTTTATTCATTATTTCATTTTTATATTTTGTACTCTTCTGTTGTTTTAATTTTTGTTATTTTCATCGATTATGCAGATAATATTTTCATTTTTGATGATAATCTTTTTTTTGAAAATAAATTAATTATTTAACAAATAAGCTTTTTACTTTTTAAAATTTATGATAGAAAAAAAAATTGCATTATAAGAAAACGATATATGAATGATTTTGATTTACCTGCAATCTTAAATCTGGAAGAATCAGCATAGTTTTGAGTTTTTGGTTATTATTAAAAACAACCGAATTTGATAAATTTATAGATTATTCTTCGTATAATATTGTATCACAGATTGTACTGTTCTTTAAATTTTTTATTTTTATCTGTTTTTCTGATTTTGAAAAAGATTATTCGCTAATTCACTAATTAATATAAACAAATAGATAATATAACGGACACTAACGAATGCTAATAATCAAGATTCTTTCTCAAAGAATAGTTCAAAATGATCGATGCTTCTCAATTACGCATACCGATTAATTGAACACCGATAAATCCATGTCCTTCTATAATCAATTGCATAGTAAAAAACACTAAACAAATTAGTAGCAAATGTATCTCTTCACATTTCACTCGCGTAAACAAATACATTCAATACGAAAGAATTAAAAATTTAACTGAATGAGATGTTATAGAAATAGATGCATTCGATATTTCCGCGATGCATTTCTTTTCTATGAGAAAGCGGAATTCCCAAGCCGACGAACGGTGTTGCTCGCGCAAAGGAGGGAGTATCAAACGAACTAATGAGAGAAATAAGAGGGGATATATATATATAAGAAAGAGCACGAGAGAAGAAAAGACTAACCAAGAAAATCACTATTGATTCGATATCAATCAAAAGACGAATAACGCGCACAATATAATCCACCAATTTTTCACCTTCCACAATTTATTCTAGTTAATGACTGATCGGATCTCTTTTCTCATTCGGCAAATTTCGCTTCGATTCGTGACAATCCGACCGACTACGCTCTCTTTCGGTCACTATCGGTTATTTCGTTTTTTAATATTATTAAATTATAACATTAATAAATGTTTTAAAAAATTATTCGCGCTTTTTTTTTTAAATCTGAATATAATTGAATTATTTTGAAATTTACAATCTGAGATTTTATTATGAGTTAGATTAATTTATTAATTTTATGATGAGTTGTAAATCAATTTATCATACATTTATCAATTTATAATACATTTATTTAATATACTATATTTAATATACTATAAAATTATATAATATAATTTTAGCAATTTTTCGACTGTTTTATAAAATTTTTCATAAATTTTTTATAATTTGAAATGATCGTCTCTTGACGAATTTTTACTAATCCTTATATTTCATACATTTTTATGCATATATTTATTATTTAAAGCAAATTGAATTCAGTTCTTCAGTTCTCTTGATTTCCATATCTATGTTATGATTTTTTTTCATATATTAACATTGACTGTTTGATTGTGTACATTTTATACAACGAAACAAAAAGATTGTTAAATTTTATATAATTTTCTTGCAACTTAATAAGTATAAAAATTTCTACTAAAAATTTTTATAGAAAATTTATAAGATTAATAATTAATGAGATATATGTATTTTCTTTATTGCAATTTTCTGTATGTAATTTTTCAAAATGTTTGCAATAAATAATTCTATTTTAGATCAATACTCTATAATTTCTAAATAAAGAAAATCAAAATTTTATTTGCTATGCATTTTATTTTTTGAATTACATATTATAAATAAATAGTTGCAAATTGTGTCTGTTTAATTCGTTATTACCTATCGTAATTTTTTGAGGATTTTTTATTATTACGTACACACATGCGCATATAGAAACAATACATATTTTACATACACACATACACGCGTGCACGCGCGTCATTATATTTAAATCACTTTATAAAGCACAAGTAAAATGTAGTTATTGGATTGATGATTGAAAGATAACGTAGAATCAAATTCATATAAATGCGTTATGTTGAATGAACAAATATATTAAATATTTTACTATTTATGATAAAATAATTATATATATATATATATATAAGCAAAAAATTTAGATATCGTTTTCTATCAAGATAATATTTTTGAATTTTTAATTCAGTGAAATTTATTGAACGTTATACACGTATAAATATTTTGAAGTTTCCTTTTTTTTCTAAATTCATTATTTTATATTAATGAAGAAATTTTAATTATATTTTTATTTTATTGTATCATGTAAACGTATACGAAATATATTCGATTAAAATGTAATATATTTAGTAAATAAAACAAATAATGTAAATCAATTAGTAAAATTAAGAAATAAAAAGGATATTTAAAAAATTTAATGCGATACTCACCCTAATAAAACGTAGTTTATGGGTATCATTTTCGACGATATCTCCTGACACGATAGGTATGTTCATTGTATATTCTTCATTCTATCGAGCGAACAATATGTATCACCTTCAGAAAATAATAATACGATTCAATTGGTAAACTATTCGAAATCAAATAGAATGTTTCATCCACGATATCAATATTTCCCTATTTTTTAGTTAATATATTATAAATGTAGATGTGCAAACGAAAGATTGCTGCTGCAATCAGAGATATGGATCGAAACGAGAAAAGTGAGCATCCAGTCAATTGTTGTAGCGTCAATTGTTCGTTTAGTTGATTCGATATTGTACAATTTACTATTCGATGTGATTTGGACAGAAAATGCATATGTTTTCTTCTCAATAATGAATTTACATAAAATTACAGTGCAAGCCATCGATTTAAAATATTTAAACATTTAAAATGTCGCCGGATAAATAGGCGAATTGTCGCATGCTTATGTGTTCACATGTCAAAACTGTCGAACACGTTTTAACGTAAATATTCCGTTTTAATGTACGGTTATGAATCAAGCGAAATGTGACTGCTAGGAAATCAGAAAAAAATGACTGCGAACAGTACCACGATTAATGCACTAAAATATTGAGACGCTAAAAGCACGTCGTTTACGCGTCAACTAGCTTGTTGACCGTACACTCGTTTGCCCGATACACGCGTGTACCGAGAGATAGGTTTTTCTCGTCATACGAATATATGTGACCTCGTCTGTTTGCAAATGGATTCAACTATTCTCTCACAGGTGTGCGCGAGTATAATGACGCGCACGCGTGTGCGCGCTCGAGAGCACCGTCGCATGTGCGTATGCGCATATGTATGCTATATACTATCGATGTGCCGTTGCAAGGCTTCTCTGTCGTTGCTGAAGCGACAATTGAAAAGCCGAAGAAATAATCGCAATTAAATCGTACAACGATTATAAATATGTATTCAAATTGATTCATTTTTATTCAATTCCATCCAATTTGATATTATTAATCGATTTATTTTATTTTCATTTTATTATTATTGATTTATTATTATTTGTAAGCAATTTTTGTTAAAAAAATTGATTGGCAGTTACGCCAATGCACATAGATATATATACGCAACGTGTTTTGTAATATTGATTGTCGCTCGAACAATAATACCAATCA